AGATAGATAGATAGATAGATAGATAGATAGATAGATAGATAGATAGACAGACAGACAGACAGACAGACATACAAGATAGCTAGGTAGATATATAGGAGAGTAGATAGATAGGTACATAGATAACAGAACATTCTCAATTTGGGTACATAAAACACCTAACATAAACCGACTGAGGAAGTCGCCATTGAAGCAGCCAGCTCAAGTTCCATTAGCAAGGCTCTGGCAGAACAGCATGGTCTCTTGTTTTTTTAAAAAAATGCTTTCAGGAGATATTACACTTTTACTCATTTTACAGTTTAGAGGAGTCCAAGGGAAAGAACAAATAACCACAGAAAAGTAATATCAAATGAGGTGCTCAAAGCATCTAAGACACCAACTGGAAAAGTTGAGACAGGCAGCGTGAGTTCCTACTTGAGCATCCTCTCCATGAGTGAGCTTCCTATGGCCAAACACCCCATGGCTAGACTTCCATCTTCTTTCTCCCATGGTAATGTTATAGGATAGGCAGTGATAACCTCTGTTGGAAATAGTTTCCTTTCTAGTTGTTCTCAAGATCACATTGTTTTCCTTTGGGTTGTTTTTGTCCTCCATATGACAGCCCATCTACAAACAAGAAGCCGTAGAGAACACTTGATCAACATGTGATGAAGGGGATGGCAACCCCACATTCAGAGCCAGCTTCTGAGTGAGCTTAAGCATCACTCAGCAATTTTCTAGTTGGCTTCTTTGCACCAACCAAAAACAACCTAAAGGAGAAAGAGTTCATTTCACCTACACGATTAGATCATAATTCATCATTTCAGGAAGCCAAGGCACAAACCATGGAGGAATACTGCTACTGGACTGGGTCACTCTCTGCCTCAAGCATGCTAGCTTTCTTACATACGCTGATATACCATATACACCTTGAGTATATCACAGACATGGCTATAGGTGAGTATGAGTCAGGCAATTCCTCTGTTGATATTCTTTCTTTCTGGGTGACTCTAGGTTGTACCAAGTTAGCCATAAAAACTCACGTTGCAAATTCTCAATAGAGGAATATCAAATGGCAGAGAAACACTTAAAGAAATGCTCAACATCCTTAGCCATCAGAGAGATGCAAATCAAAACAACCTTGAGATTTCACCCTACAGCCATCAGAATGTCTAAGATCAAAAACTCAAGTGACAACATGTGCTGGAGAGGATGTGGAGAAAGGGGAACCCTCCTCTATTGCTGGTGGGAATGTAAACATGTACAACCACTTTGGAAATCAATCTGGCTTTTTCTTAGAAAACTGGGAATAACACTACCTCAAGATCCAGCTATATATACCAGTCTTGGGCATATACCCAAAAGATGCCCCACAATTCAATAAGGACATTTGTTCAACTATGTTCATAGTAGCTTTATTTCTAATAACCAGAATCTGGAAACAACCTAGATGTCCCCCAACAGAGGAATGGATACAGAAATTATGGTACATTTACACAATGGAATACTTCTCAGCAATTAAAAACAAGGAAATCATGAAATTTGCAGGCAAATGGTGGGAACTAGAAGAGATCGTCCTGAGTGAGGTATCCCAGAAGCAGAAAGACACACTTATAAGTATATTCTCACTTATAAGTGGATATTAGACATATAATATAGGATAAGCATACTAAAATCTGTACACCTAAAGAAGCTAATGAAGAAGGAGGACCCTGGGTAAGATGTTCAATCGTCATTCAGAACTGCAAATGGATGGACATCAGAAGATGGAGAAAACAGGGAACAGGACAGGAGCCTACCACAGAGGAACTCTGAAAGACTACCCTGCAGGGTATCAAAGCAGAGGCTGAGACTCATAGCCAAACTTTGGGCAGAGTGCAGGGAATCTTATGAAGAAGGGGGAGATAGATAGACCTGGAGGGGACAGGAGCTCCACAAGGAGAGCAACAGAACCTAAAAATCTAGGCACAGGGGTATTTTCTGAGATTGATACTCCAACCAAGGACCATTCATGAAGATAACCTAGAACCTCTGCATAGATGAAGCCCATGGCAGCTCAGTGTCCAAGTTCCCTAGTAAATAGAACAGGGACTGTCTCTGACATGAACTCAGTGGCTGGCTCTTTGATCACCTCCCTATGAGGGGCGGGGACACAGCCTTACCAGGCCACAGAGGAAGACAATACAGCCAGTCCTGATGAGACCTGATAGACTAGGATAGAAGGGGAGGAGAACCTCCCCTATCAGTGGACTGGGACATGGACATGGGAGGAGAAGAGGCAGAGTGGGAGGGATTGGGAGGAGCCAAGGGAGGGGGGCTACAGCCGGGACACAAAGTGAATAAACTGTAATTAATTTAAAAATAAATAAAATTTAAAAATACTTTCTACAAAAACCCTCACATTGCAAAAGCAGGGCCCGGTTTTCTCTATTATACTCTCCCTGTGCATACCTCAGCAGTTTTGCACTGTGGTCCCACTGCCTAAAATGTGGCCCCACCTTCACTTTTCACCTAATTCCTTTTAGGTCCTTTGGTTGGAGCTGGGTGGTTCCTGGTGTTCAGATGCCTCGCTGCTTTTCCTAGATTAGCTTCCTAGAAGCTGTGTAACCACAGACAGATACCAACTTGCAGCATGCCCTGCTTTCTACACAGAGCTATTGTCATGGTCATTGTCTGTGCTGAAATACTGTTGCTCTTTGAGTAAGGATGCTATCTCTCCCTCCCTCCTTTTTCTCTTCCCTTCCTTCTTTTCTTTCTTCCCAACCTCTTTCCAGAGCCAGCATTTTCAAAGGCAGAGGCAGGCTGTGTCTAGCTTTCTCTTGGAACTGGATCGGCCTTGAATAATGCTACTTTTGTCATTCTTATGACGAGAGATCTGACTTCCTAAGGAGAAAGTGTTTCCTACAGCTCACAATTTGAGGGTACAGTCCATTAGATTAGGGAAGGCAATCCAGTGGGAGCTGCTAGCAGCTGAGCAAATGGGGGTCATGAGATCGCTTGCTCATGTCTTCTCTCTAGATGGAAGACTAGAAAACAGGGGTGGGAGAGATGCCAACATTCAGCTGGTTTTCTTAATTTTCCCCTTTTGTTATTCAGCCCTGAAGTCCAGCCCATGTAATGGGGCCACCAACCCACATTCTGGTAGGTAGGCTTTTCCCTGCCCTCTGGAAGCCTCTCTGGAAGCAACCTCAGAGACACACCCGCAGGTGTGCTGCAGGTGTCTCTTAAGCCAGTCAGGTTGACTGTGGAAACTAACCAGCAAGCCTCCCCTGAAGTCATAATGAAGAGTATGGCTTATTTTCAAACTAATGATCATATTAGCTCACTGGTGGTTTTATGAAGTTTCTTGTTTATTTGTTTATCTGTTTGTTAGAGCAATTGTCTCCTTTTGTTTCAAGTTTTCTCTACTGGTTATCAGGTGCTAGATAGAGAAGGCCTCTGTGGTAAATCAAGCAAGACCGGGAGGATTTTTTTATAAACAGGACTTGTCAGTCTTTACTATGCCAGAAAGTTTCAGTTCCTGGGAAGTGCGGAGGGACTGCCCTGCTGAAACTTGCTGGTTGGGAGCCTTGTCTGTTGAAATTCCTCCTTTATTAGTGTCTCTTCACCACAACCTGGACTTGCCTTGTTTTCGGAGGCCCTCCTGCCACCAGATGGCAGCGCACCTGAGGGAACCAGACTGGGGTTTGGGCAGTGTGCCTGAGGCATGATGTGACATCATATGGTGGTCTTCTCATGTCTCTCTCCAAACAGAGAAGGAGACTTTCCTGGATCCTTTTGTCCTCCGAGACCTCCTGCCTGCATCCCTGGGGAGCTACTACCGCTACACAGGCTCCTTGACTACCCCGCCATGTAGTGAAATCGTGGAGTGGATTGTCTTCCGGAGGCCGGTTCCTATTTCCTACCACCAGGTAAGCAGTCTGCCTGCTCCCATTTGTGGTTTTCATCTTGCCTAGGTTTTTCTTGAATATTTACTGTGACTAGTATGGGGTTTTGTTTAATTCTATGGGTTTTTTTTCTCATTAATTAATTTATTCGCTTTACATCTTTACTGAAGCCAGGGCCCTTCTTCCAGTCCCACCCTCCCACCCTTTTACCTCACACTTCCACCCTCTTCCCCCACACTCCCTTCCCCTTCTCAGTAAAGGGGATCCCCCCCATGCCAATCCACCCCAACACGTCAAGATCCATCAGGACTAAACATATTCTTTTCTACTGAGGTCAGGCATAGCAGCCCAGCTAGGAAAAAATGTTCTAAAAGCTGGTAACAGAGTCTGTGTCAGAGACAGCCCCCACTCCAATTGCTAAGGGACCCACAAGAAGACCACACTGTCCATCAACTACATATGTGTAGACGGCCTAGGTCCAGTCCATGCATGCTCTTTGGCTGGTGATTCAGTCTCTGTGAATCCCATTGACCTAGTTTTGTTGACTCTGTATGTCTTCCTGTGGAGTTTTTGTCCCATTACAGTTCCTCTATCCTTCTCACAAGTTTTCCACATGATTCCCCAAGCTCCACCTACTGTTTGGTCATGTGTCTCAGCCTCTGTTTCCATCCTCTGCTGTGTGGAGCCTCTCAGAGGACAGTTATGGTAGGCTCCTGTCTGCAAGCATAGCAGCGCATCATTAATAGTGTCAGGGGTTGGCTCTCTCCCATGCAGTGGGTCTCTGGTTGGGCCCGTTGTTGCTTGGCCATTTTCTCAGGCTCTGCTCCATCTTTATCCCAACACATCTTGTAGGCAGGGTAAGTTTTGGGTAGAGTGTTTTGTGGGGTGGGTTGGTGTCCCCCTACTCCACTGGAAGTCAATTCTCTGCTTTGTTTTTTTTTTTTTATATTGATTTCTATAGTCTATCCAACATACAGTTTTAAAGCCAAGAATAGTAGAATATAAAATACCGTTTCTCAATGTTATCCTCTGGGCATTGAATAGCCAATGCAATCCGGGTCCCATAGCAGCCATGTCTTCAGGCAGTGTGCTAGCATAGACTAGGCCTGTCAGCAGTCAGTCATAGATCCAGGAGAGGTTTACAGGGCCCTCCACACCTCTACTGAACTACCGGTTGCTGCTGGATTCTGGAGAAGGGCATTGTATTCAGCTGTGTACCCACAAAGGAGCCCACCAGACTCAATGGACAGTTCCAAACCCATGGTCGCACAGGTAGTACTGGTTAAACTCAGTGGCTCTTAAGTAAGTAGGTAGAAAAATATGAATGTGGGAAGGGAACCTATAGGGATATAAATGATAGTAGAGAGGGCACAGGGCTACAGTACTCAGAATCCACATTGTACCTATATGAAACTGTCAAAGAACAAATTCTGTAAAAGTGGTGTGAACAATAAGCGTTAGACCTGAAGAATATTTTTCAGATGAAGGTTAACTAACTGAGTGCAGACATGAAATGAGGTATTGTTTGGGATTTGGTCTTGAGGAAATAATAGTTAGTCCACAATAGTAGCTTGTATCAGATGCATGTGTGTTATTCCTGCATAGTTTTCATTCATTGTCTTGGAAGGATGGTATTATTTACACCCTTATTTTATGGTGGACATAAAGAGACATTTGAGGATAAGTGACTTCCAGGATCACATAGCTGGTGACGAAGCCACGGTGTCTATTCTTAGGATCATACTCTGAGTCTTCAGCCTACAGCAGTTGAGAAAATAGATCCTTACGCATAAATGGGACAAAATGAATCACTGACTGAGTTCTCTGGCCCTCACTTTTTCTGCACTTCAGAATGTCTAAACAGATCAGCCTAAAGGAGGAAAGTTTTATTTGTGCTCAGTTTTGGTCTGTGATTGGCTGGATGCACTGCTCTGGTCCTGGGAAACTCCTTACCTCATCATAATCAGCAAGCAAGAGATAGCAAGAGCAAGTGGGAACAGGGCATCAAAGGTGCATCACTGTGACTTCACCTGCGGCTTAAGCCTCTGGAGAAGTTGACATCTACATTACCCTATCACCCGTTTCTCAGTAGGGCCACCACCTAGGACATGGTACATGCATGCCTTCTGGGGCCCCTGAACATCTAAGGCAACCAAGCTGCTTCTGAATGGTTCCTTACATGTGTCAATTGTAGCAGTGATGCAAAAGCATTGAGAGATGGGTGGTGCCCTGCTGTGGCACAAAACAGGGCCTCAGAGTGTGGAGAGAAACATTGGATACCAGGGGCTACACACAGTTGTCATCATCTGATCCCAAACCACGTGTTTCTGACCCACTGCTGCACTGCTTTCTCCTGGTTTTGATCTGAGATGATCTCCCTGGAAGGTGGGATTCAGGCCAAGCAGTTAATCACAGGGAGAAGCTGGTAAAATGAGACAGGGGGTTGGCAAGCTGGCTGAGGAGAGGGAGCCACCAGTGGAGTTAGGGCACCTAAACCACCTCATAAGCATTGACAGAATGAAGAGGGGACTTTTTGGAAAGTGCATGTTCTTGGTCAAAAGTTCAACCCAGAGCTGCTTAACATAGTTAAGCAGGGAAAACAGCTTGCAGCCACACCTAATGATGTGAGATCAATCCCCAGGGTCTATGTGATGAAAGGAGAGAACCAACTCCCACACATTGTTCTCTGACTTCCACATGTATGGCCTTCCAAAATAAATATGTAATTTTTTTTTTTTTTTAAATTAAGACTTCACCTTCAATTGGACTCATCGTAAGGTCCTTATGTGTAGTGCTGGGAACAATGGCTAGGATAGAAGGAGGTGGTGTGGAGCTACTAACTGGGACTATCTGAAATGAAGGGTTCCTGTGAGACTCTCTTATTCACATGGCCTCTTTCCTACACAGCCAAACTTCCGGTTGTGGGATGCAGTGAGACAGAGAGAAGCAGAAAATTCTAGAGTGATGTGATATTACCAGTATTTCACTAAGAAAACAGGTAGTAAGGTTTTGATCTTGAGGGATGGTCCAGAGATTTTCCTAAAGCAAGACAGAGGGTAGAGAAAAGGGTGTGGAAGAAGGGTCAGATGGCACTCTGCTTAGGCTTTTTTTTTTTTTTTTTTTTTTTTTTTTTTTGGCTATAACAAACAGAGATGAACACTTCAGTATGTCCAAACAGTATATTTGGAGAAGCAATAGTCAGTGTGAGGTGACACTCTGTGAGCCTTCCTACACAAGACTGACTTCTAACTAGACGGTGAAACCTGGGGTTCCATCTGCCTTGCCTCCAGAGGGCTCATCAGTCAAGGAGCTTCTGACATGGCTTTGGAACTGATCCTGTACTTTGGCAGAACTCGACCCCCTGCTTGTTTGGTCTTGGTTCCATAGCCCACTGTGGTTATATTAGTCCTGGTTGACCTTTAAGGTTAAACCAGCAATAGCTGGCTAAAGTCAAGTCTTCCATCAAAAAAGGTTTCCTGAAGATGTTTCTGAGAACTCAGCCAGCCAAAGTCTGCCCTTGAGTCCCATGACCATTTTTAAGTAAGTCAGAGAAGGTGCTGGGTAGTGTCCCAAAGCATTCAATGTTGACCTTTCTTGGGTTACATGGAGCAGGAGCTGTACAAGGAGATGGGACAGGACAACCCTTTATCCTCCAGGTGAAGGTAGGTGGCGTGATGTGAGGCTGACCTCGGTTTTTCTGCCGTTAGCAACCATTTTTCTTTGAAGATGTTTTTCTTTTGAATCTGTACTATGACAGAAAAGGAAGGACTAGCAATTTGGTTCCTGAACGGGATCTGCCAGCTGTGAGGAGAAAATGAAATAGAGATGAGTTTTCTTCCTAATTATGAAGCCAACATTGTTTTGTTTTTAAAGAAATCAGTCCAAATATTTATTTCTCTAGGGTTGAGGAAAGAGTCTAGTTGATTTTTAAAGGGTTCTTTTTGTTACTTAAGATAAATGCTTCTGTCTTCGAATATTTAAATGCTTGAGCTATTTAAGCATTTGCCCACTTTTTTGGGTAGGGTTTCTAGTGTAGTGAAAGGTGACAATTGGCCAGCTGAAGGGTCTGAAGACCATCAACATATACCAGGTTGTTTTGGCAGCTAAAAATACCAGATAGGTTCAAACAAAACACACACTTTTGGGGGAGTGGACGTCTGCAGAAGTGTTTGTGAATCTGAAGCATTTTGACATTTGGAAACTGGTGCTTTTAGAAGGTGTTTTGTTCACATCTTTGTGCTTGTCAGAGTCTAGAACAAGGATGTGCAAGGAGAAGAATGCAGGTGTTTGCTTTGCCTTCCCTTGAAGAGACCGTATTACAAAGAAACAAAGAAAGAAATTGTACTTGATTTCCAATTTAATACCTATTGCCTGCAGATAATGCTGCACTTTTATCAGACCCTTCACCCTGCATCCCTCCCAGGGGAGGAAAGCAGCTCCTTGTCCCTGTGGCTGCACTGGCTCCTTGCTGGCCAGCTCTGCGGAAGCCACAGCTGCATCCCTCACCCCCGTCCCCCCACTCCCCCACCCCCCCACCCCCAGAATGGAAAGTGTCAGCCATCCAAGTGTTCTTGCTTTGAAGCTTCCTACTCTGTCACTGCCACTCTTCTTTCTGAAGCTAGCACAGAACACTCATTTCAGGGAGCTGGGGGCCAATTTGGAAATGCCAAGTAGTTAGGAATTCCGTATCAGAAAGGAAAGAGCCATGCATTTTAAATCCTGTTCCCCTATTTCTCAGAAGCACCCCCCCAATCTTTTCTCTCATCAATGTGGGCTCCTGCAAGCCTTGAGCAAGTGCATGTGTATTCTTCCTAAGATGTGATGCTCAGCCCAGAAGGTAGGCGCTTTGAAGGTTTACCGAGCACAGGACCAATTCCCTAAGTTTCCCCTTGTTTTCTCTGTGATTCCCCATGGGCATTCTAAACAGATCTTCGCCAACGAACTCAGTAGATCCTAATACGGTGTTTTCTGATGTAGTGTAGATACCTAGGTTGCCCAGTAGCCAGTGTGGTTTATGCGACCGC